CCCCAAAACCCCAAAACCCCAAAACCCCATTTTATGCTAGAGTAAAACCCCTTTAATAATCACCAAAAGCCTCTATCTCTTGCAGCTCCTTTAGTACAATCCAGACTTAAGTCTTAATTTTGCTTAAAGTTAAAGTTACTAATTTGTATAATGGTTTAAAAACGGTAACTTCAGTGTTAGGTTAGAGCCATTTGGTTTACAGTTACAAAGAGTCTTTGGTAGATATCCAACTTTGGATTTTATGGCTTCTTTTGTTAGGGTCCTAGAGATGTGTTAGGGGTGGAGGAGAGGGGTTTACTTTATAGGCTTGGTAATTGGGGCCGCTGATGTTTAGTATTTCAGAGTCAAAATTTCGACTTGGGATTGTTTTAGGGATGTCAATTTTGGGAAGTTTGAGCTGTGGGTCCCGAGGATCGTCTTCATCTACTTCTTCTATTGTGAAACTTGAGTTGTTGCAGAGGTATGCACCGAGGCTTATAGAAATTTGACTTAAATCCTTCTTTCGTTGTTTTAATTCAGATTTTGCTCCATTTTTGTATTTTCTTATGCTGGTTGCTAGTGTATTATTTTAAAGGATTGAGAGATAACGATATCTTATTTGAACGTTTTCTCCTATTTTCATTCAGATAAGACTCATCTTTTGACTCAAAGGATTTGATCTTTATTTTTGTAATAGGTGTTCCAAGCCTCAGATCAAGCCCAGTTTGATTTTTATTTCCTCTGTTCTTTGGCCTCTCTAAACTTTTTAAGGAATTAATAGGCTCGACTAATTTATTCGTTTTTAATAGAAGTTCACATTAGTTTTCGCTGGGGCAAAGGATCTTGCTGAGCTAAAAGCACGATGAGTTTCAATGTTTTGGACTAAACTTTCAGATAAAATCATTTTATTGTTTTCTCTCTTTTTAATTTTAAGGGGAGGTAAATCCAATCTGTCTGGTTTTCTTCATGCCTGAAAAGTGGTTCTAAAACTCATCTTCACTTCAGATGCAATAGAACTTTCCTTGGTATTGAAGTTATTTATCTTTTCAAAAGATCTCTTGGCAAAAATAGGCTTTTCAGAGAGTCTAATCATTTTATCTCTAGAGCTATCCGACATAACTTTGCTGATATTTGTATTATTCAACTTCGCATAATTCTTAAGGGGTTTTGGGGTTTTGGGGTTTTGGGGTTTTGGGGTTTTGGGGTTTTGGGG